TCGATTTCCCAGAATACTGCATCTACTTCCCATGAGCGGAAAAACGAACAGGGCTTAATTCGAGAAATGATTTCATCCAAGGAAGAAAAGCATGTGACTGAAATTTCAGCGAACTATTTTGATGAAAAGTACGCCAAAAATCATGTTATTTTATTTTCTGCATCAAAAAGCAAAATATTACTAAATTTGACCAGTTTGTACCAGAAAGCTTGTGATGCGGAAAAGCAAGCGATTAAAGTTAATCAAGATGAAATTACGTGCTGGTATTATTATATTATAGAATTTGACAACCAGGTTAGGGATCTCATGAAATCTGACAATATTGGAGAGAAGGGCAGATCTATGATTTTATTGTTGCACAACTAAATGCCAAGCGTAAAACTTTACAAAAACAAACTCAGAAAGCTAGAAAGGTTTATAATTTATTCGAAAAAAAACCCAGAAGGCAAGAACTATCTATACTTTGTTTAGTCAGATTGGAGTGAAAAAAATCAAACGAATTCAGACATATAGTGCAAACACAATTTCGAATCTGATGGCACACAAATCCAAAGTGTTGTGGATAGCTTCTCATAGGAGTTTTGGCGATCGTGAATAGTTGTTCACGCAAACGTGATAATAAAGGGATTTTTTTCTTAGCCAATCGTAAAAGTCTTGTACGGGTTCAGATTTTCAGGTGGCGAGAGCCAGTACATTCATGCTAAAACACATGGATCAAGATTTCATCGACTCATTCGGCGATAATAAAGGGACAATGATGATTAACTCTCATGATCGAATTAAAATATTAACACCCTACAGAGTGGCACACTAATTCTCATCGGGTAACTTATAAATTTGTAATAAATCAAAGCGAAGGGATTTGTGAAGTTAAAGGTTGATGTTTTTCACTTTTCCTGATAAAGTAAAACTGACTGCTGAACTTCATATAAGTCGATGGTAATATTAGTACCCATCAATACAGCAGGAGGTGTTGGTAATGGTGTATATGCAATGGCAGGAACCGGCGGATCATAAAACACCTCGCGAACGGGGATGTTGATTAAATAGTTGAGGATGTTTGGGGCATTACAACCATTAGGAGATCCGTCTTCGTTGATGGTCCCAAATTGCCACTGCCATATAAAAAAAATTGAGTATTACGAGAAGTATAAATTTCTCTCTAGACAAGTAAACTTTACCTTTTGCTTCTGCGCCCCTTGTCGCCAAAGAACTGCCTAATATCGAAAAACTATTAAGATGAAAAATATATAATAATGGAACAGCGAGATATACCTTCATCGCCCGATCTTTGTGTCCTTGTGCGTTGCGTGTATTTTTTGTTTCGTGAAGCTTTATGCCGAGTACAGCTCGTACGTACGGCTGTTGCATCCATAGCTTGCACTTTTCTTTTAAGTCGGAGTATCTTTGAGCCATGGTTACTTCAAGGATTATCCTAGCATGAGGGTTTCCCTACATAAACCATATTAGTATCACGAAAATATCAACCTACGACCAATTCAAAGTACCCTTTTGTCGCTAGGGGGAGGACCAGGGTGTGGGACAGGTGGTGGTGGAACGAAAAGAGGATTTGGATAGACAACGAGATCTGGCATTATATAGGATCCATCTCCACTCGGCGATTGGTGTGCTGTGGGAAGGACAGAAATCAATAAGCCAAAGATCAAGTAAACTGGAAACAATTCCCTTACCTGGCTGTCCAAGAATTGATAGTGGAGAAGTACGAATGGGTGCGCCACCGTTTGGAACACGGAAGCGATTTCCCACCTCCTCGACGACAGCCTCATGTTCACTTGTGGTCATATCAACTATATATATAGTGCCGTTTCTATACTCAATCTTGTATCCAAACTTGTCTTTGCTTTCGATGAAAGAGTTGAAAGCTTGCACGGATACATCTGAGGCAAGCGGATAAGGAAGCCTGCAATCCATACGGGTCAATAGACAACTCTCAAAATGAATCAGTGTGATGCCTGCCCACCTGGTCTCGCTTAACGGCTTGTGTGGTAAATGAATCTTCCCTGAAGAAAATGCTTTTTTCACCAAAGCGCCAAATAGTTCAAATTTGACCATTTGTCTTCATTTTTGAGCTGTCAAAAAGATTTGATTCACGTGTGATACATGTCCTAGATTTTATAAAGCATTACTCGTGATCTTGCGACTTTTGATCTATATTACATAATATCACGGAAGGGAGTGACAGGTTATGATTCATACAAAATTAAGATCTTTAGCTGGTATTTATACGAGTCGGAATTTGTCGCATCGTATTGCTCTCAATGCCAAACTTTTTCCGAATTACGATTACGTCTTTCTCCAGGTACAGGAATTCATATTAACGAAAGCTTTCTTCGTAGAGGTTTTCTTATCTCAAGTTACAGTAAGGAACTGTGGTAAGGAAGAAGATACAAAAGCTAAATGTTTTGAATATCCGATAAATCTCTAACCAATTTATATATCTGATCTCGGTAATCTCGAATTGTTCATTTATAGTTTCTTTTGTTAGAGTCGACATCATGAGTTATACTAAGACAATTTTAAGAGAGAAAAATAATACTACTCTGATCCCATCTCATATATACCCGAAATAGATGGCGCAAAAGAATAAATCATAGTTCGAGGATTTTTAATAAACTTTTAAACATATCCGTATCTTGTATAAAACAATGGCAAATACACAGTTTAAAATTAATTCGTTGCAGGAATTAAATTCTCGACTCATTACCACGATTGCTGAGCTTAGAAAGGAGAATGCTGACGTCAAGGCCGAGAATACAAAATTAAAACAAGATAAAGAAGAAATCGAGGCCAGGTTTGTAAAACTAGAGCAAAGCGACAAAGAAAATGTTGATCTTAGAGCTGAAGTAGCAAAATTAAGGCATGACATCGAGGAAATCAAACTACAAATCCGAGTTAATACTAACGAATGGGATATGCCTTCTTTTGCAGAGCAAAGCCACTTACGTGGCACAGAAGATATTTCACACTCATCAACCAGTTCACCATTACCAGTAACCTCCCCGTCGCCTATTCAGAATAGCACCAAACCGATAGCAAATACAACTGCTGTCACATCTAAGATCGAACCTATATCATTGGAAGATAAGGTGATCGATGAATTCCTGGATGAGGTGCATAAAGAAAAGGTAAGTAATGAAATAAGAGAAAGAAATCGAGAAAAAAAGCTTCAAGAAGAGTCAAAGACTCGTTGCAAATCATCCTCAGCTATTCAAGACCTATCATACGGTAGTACAGAAACCATTCTCTCAAAAAACGATCAAGATGGAAATTTATGTGATATGAAAACCGTTCCCTCGGGGAACGATCGAGATGTAAATTTATCACGTGGTACAAAGACTATTCGTTCGGAAAACGATCAAACTGAAATATCTGATTTAGAGCAAGATGTCGAGTGTGATAAAAATGAAATCGTAGAGCAGGGTTTAATAGAAGAATTGCATTTATCTACTGATAAGCAATGCCTCATTGATTCTGCTATTGATTCTGCTATAGATAATACCAACTCTACAGAAAATAAAGGTCCAGCTCAACATCTATCTTATTTATTTAAAACGGCAATCAAATCTCGACAACAGGAACTTTTAAACTGGTATTATTATTCCCTTGAATTCGAAAACAGGGTTCATGTTATTACAACTGATGGTAAGATCAAAGACAAAACAGCAAGAACAATGATTTATAAAGAAATGAAACCGTTTCTTCCTAATATCACTCAAGATAACTTGCGTAAAAAAACTCTTAGAGCTAGAAAACTTCTTATGCTATTCGGAGAAAATGGAGTAGGTATAGATAAAATTAAGCTAATTACATATAGTGCGAATGAGATTTCAAAATTGACTAATGTACAAATTCAGAATATTATAGATCAAGTGAAATCAAAAACCGTTCCCCCGGGGAACGATCAAGCTTTACCAGAAACCAAGGTAAGTATTACAACCACTCCCTCTAATTCGATAAGTGAAGTTAAATCTTTACTGGAGGTTGAGATATGTGAAGAGATTGATCAAGATTCCGATCCATCAAAAGTCAAGATACAGGTAAGTGCGTCCGATAACTCGCGAAGTGGGGATGCTATCGCATCTGAAGATTCCAACTATGAATACGATTTTGAAGATCCCTTCGATAACGATGAAGAGGAAGATGATGATGGATTCTGTGGATTTTCTGACGATGATGATGAAGGTTATTATTATGATTTAAATACCGGTGAAACTTATACAAAATCGGAGAGTCGAAGACTCGATCCTTTGGATCATCGTTCAATCTGCGCATATTAAGAATTATCGGCGGAGCTGGCACGGCCAAAAAATTACCAAAAAATAGTGGGTAGGCTCAAAGAACCATTGTTTTACAATAGATAGTTTAACCGCCCTCATGTATTTTGTACTGTATCAATAAAACAGTTAGACCTAAACGGTCTTTTTTTTCCGATAATTAATTTTGTGTGCAATAATAAACATTTTTTCATTTGAGATCATCACCAAGATCCATTCAAGACCATCGTCCAGGAATATCGATTCCGTTAATGGATAGGGTCTAAGATATTGACCAAAGTGGGTATAAAAACAGATAGGAATCTCGTTACTCGATTACATTCTTAATCATTATGTCTCTCTCCAGTCTTAAAACCCTTGCATATAACATTCTAAAAGAAACGGGAGACATCGTCCAAGATACAGAAAATCTCGAACCACTTCAATGCTCAATATGCAAAGAAAAAATTTTAACACTCACATACGAATCGTTTACTATTCTCAGTGGTTGTGGCCACATTTTTCACAGAATGTGTATCGAGAAAAAAATTCTGTACACAACACCAAGCATATGCCCTTTTACCGGTTGCAGTAGAAGCGTCGAGAATATTGATGAAACTCAAAGACGGGTCTCTGTATCTTCTGAAATAAGTGGTACTTCGAATCTGGCTGATGAATTTACCCGTAATGTTGGATTTAGTTCTTCTCAAAAAACTTCGTCTCAAGATCAAGATGTGGATATGGATGGAAATGAAGGAACAGGACATCGAGTTGAAATTCTATCCAACCTACCGCAAAAGCGTGTTAACGAAGCTACCCCTACGGCAAGTTCCTCTAATAAAAAGATCAAGAAGCCGGTTAATAGAGAAGAATCGGCAAAACTGAAGAAACTTATTGATGAATTATTATCCAGCGATTCTTCACAAACTAACGAAGCTATAGAAGAGAGTGCCTCTAGTCATGCTATGACTGCTTCCACCAAAGGAAATGCTAACGATTTTTTATATTTTTTTAGAAAGATCGATCAATCCGAATCTAAATATCAAGTTACTAATAGAGAAGTCATTAGTAGTCATTTCGACTTTGGAGGAATTTTATATAACCGATATAAGGATTTAAAAAAAGATAATGGCAAGGAAGGAGCGAATGCTCTACTTTTTGATGAGGTTAGGAAACAAATACCTATTGAAGTGACTGATGGCGCCTTAAGGAAGAGAACGGAGAGAGCCCGAAAAATCTATAGGCTTTTCACTGCTATTATTAAAGGGGATGAGAAGTTAGCGAAACAAAAAATAGCGTTAATCAGATCATTTTCGGCATATTCCATTTCAAGCTTAAGTAGAGATGATATTAATTTTGTAATTGTCAAATGTTTGAAGACAACGAAGTGAATTACTGCGCCATATTACTGCGCCCTTGTGACTGCCACGTCGTGGAAAACCAGATATTGATATATTTTGCCATACGTAATAAAACCATGAATGTATGAATAAAAAATCTTATGAAACGTAATAAAGTGAAAATCGTAATTAATACTCATAGATAACAATAAAATCTCTACCTTGCAAATTTTTATCAAGTATATCGACAGTATATCGTCGGGCGATGTTAACTAGTTCATCATATGTCCCACTGCCATTAAAGAGAACAATATAATCGTATATTTCAGACTAACATAACCGCACTTTGGCTATATTATATTACGACATATTGTATAATCAATTATTTTACCAACCACATTCCAACAACACTTTGACCATACTTAACCAGTGTAAATCTATGGACGTTCATTTATTTTTTTTTCATGTAAAAGTAATACAGTATAATTAGATGCGATAGCATCCTCACTCTGTGAGACTGAATTTGTATGCCTCAGATCTGAACATTTCGGATATGTTTATCTCGGACCTGGCGATCTCAAATGGTCGGTGTTGTACATCCCTATCACAAGAAAATTAAACATATGCTTGTAGACCCTTTGGGTCATGATCCTTGGATCGCACCGCAATAATACACCCGAAATAGTTTATGCAACAATTATCCGCATGTCAAAAATAGATCATAATTAAATACACAGTACACTACATACATCTCTCCTATTCTCGTAGTATACATCACTCGCAAAATATGATGATTATAACACTCTCAAAGAGATGGTTCGAGAATCTATCTGCACTAAAAATGAATCGTACATTCTTATACTATAGAGAACCAAATCTAATAGGTCTAATAATCCTAAATACTGTCATCTAAACATTATAAATCATTAAATCACTAAATATGTATCAAATTAATAATAAGTCTCATAAATGCATTAGCAGACCTGGATATTATAAAGAAGAATTTATTGCAATTTCTGGTGGTGATTATGATGCTGAAAGAGCCTTTGAGTCTGAAAAATTATATGATGAATTAAGCATAGTTAAACCAGGTGAATCATATATTCAGTGGAGTGTTCGTATTCGAATTCCTCTCCAAGACTTAATCTCAAAAGGAAGAAATAGCTTATATCACCAATATTGTTTATTTAGTGCTTTCCCTAGTGAAAATCTCAATAAATAGACCTAAACCTCATAAAAATGGAACTGCATTATGTTTCGACTGTATGAAACTTATACGCATTAATAATGTAAAGCCAAAAAAGAAATTTCATCATGCTAAAGGTAAATATGTGGAAATTCTCGAATCTAGTGATTTTATAATGGAACATTGGGATCATGAGTGTGATAAACCTAAATCTCAAGATGGATATGCTTGAATTATACAAACTGCTTATCGCCAATTCAAAGAAAGAGTACTATCAAATGCACGTCTTGCTTGGTTAAGTTTACCAAATGATAATATTCCAGATGATAAGAAATTTCTAGGTTTAACTAGTCGTAAAGTGAAAAATTCTCAAACTCGAGATTAATTCAATCAGTGGAGAGCTGAGCAAATTGCAATATATAAAAGATGTAACGATTCACAAATGCTTAGCTTCTTTCATAATAATAAATATGAAGAATATTATATTCCATACGATTGGATAGATAGAAAGAAAAACCAATTACGAGATAGATTTAGTAAGCGTCTCCAACAATTAGAAGTATAATACACAGTATATTAATACCTATCAAATCTATTTATTCGATTTATTATTCTCACCTTCTCATGACTCTATCACTCGAAGTCAGAAAAGTAGATGCGGAATGTAGTGCGTTAGATTCTATTTGTTATCTTTCCTAAAGAAAAGCTGATAACATTTTTTACCTTAATTTTTATATATCAACCCATTTTCATTTGACACAAAAATTCCTAGTGTTGATAGACCCGAAGGGTCATGATTCAGAGAATCATCTATGGCCTGCTTCGCAATAATAGATCGCGCTTGTTATTATTACATATTCACTCTAACTTCAAACACGGCAGGATTCGGTCAGCTCAAAAATATAAGTGGCAAATAGGATGTATTAATATTAATAGAATAAAATTACAACTGAAAAAATATTCTATTATCAAACTAACCATATAAATGCTATTTTATCATAACCTATATGGATCACGAAACCCAATCCAATATTAGCTCTAGTGCCAGTTTTTTGCTTAATAGAAAGTAGATTGATTCATCAGAAATAAACGGGTATTTCTTTGCATTGAGAACTAATAAATTTGAACGGTGATGTGCAATTTCATATATCGTTTTATCAGTGATATAAATATATTGAAAACTAAGATTCTGAATGTTTGAACATGAATGGATTACATTACATATAGCATAATCTGTAATTTTGTAACAGAAAGTGAGAATAAGCTTTTGCAGGTTTCGATTTAACTGTGCAATTTTTTTGATTGATTTATCTAAGGTTGCTTGCCAAAATCCCTTAGTGACTGTCTAAATTTTGTCGAAATTATAATAAACTATTAGTAAATAACCCG